AGTGATGAGGTACCCTGAACATCTGATCTAATAATCATAATTGCAATCACTACAACACAACAAAGAAGAACACTTTAAGATAAAATCTTTACAAATTGGCAATAGCAACAGGTGTGAAATATTTTTGTATTTTTCATAACTGTCAACCATTTACACTTCCTTTTGAAATACTGTATAACTACAACCAATCAGTTATAATAATGTCAAACAAATTTATTTTCTTTGATTTGAAAATAAGATTATGCAGCTGAAGTCCCTAAATATATGATAACGAGAATAAAAATAAATAAAAAGTAAAAAATTCAAGCTCTGCACATATGAATGAATGTAAGTACAGCTACTCCCTGACTTACGACGGGGTTAGGGACCGATATCCAGGTTGTAAGTCGAAATGGTCGTATGTCGAAAATGCTTAAATAATACATAGAAAATATAAAATGGGTGTCTCTTTTTCTTCTCAGCACCACAAAACACTCACTTTTAAGCTTGCCAGCCATTTTAAAGTGAATTACAGATGAGTTTTATCTGTGTACTGACTTTAGGACTCAAAAATATGTAATTTGACCAAATTTTGGTACGACTAAGGCAGGTCGTAAGTGCAGGTGGAAGTAAGTTGAGTAGGCCGTAAGTCGGGGAGGAGCTGTATAATGCAGGCAATAACTGTTAACTTTAACCTCTAAATTTAAAAAAGAATCCAAACTACGGCAATCTTCCTTCCCCTGTGCAAGAATCTCCGGCACAGTGAAGCAACAAAAATGGAGTACGCAATAACGCAATAGGAAGATTGGCAGAAGAATGCGGGGCTTCTCAAGAGGAAGTTCATGTCCTGCTTGCAAAGGTTTTACTTTCTTTTTTAAGGCTTGGCCTCTCAATGCTGTCTTCTGTATATATGACACTAATCCCCACTCTTCTACAACCTATTTAAACTCTTGAATTTTTTACTTTAATCTATTACAATAATTTCCATGTAGAACTTATTCCCCACAAGTCAGTTCAACATATACAGTATTACACATAGATCTCCCAGTACAGTACTACACAAATATGTGACACTGAAATATCAAAACAAACTAAACTACAGGGGTATAAATATATTGTACTGTGCTTATAAAATACTTTGTCCACACCAGTCACAAAATGCCAAAAATCCAAACTAGGAAAAGTTTTAATTAAAAACATAAATACAAAGTTTCTCAAACACAAAACTGTAATCTCCAGGACAAAAGGATTTTCGGTTTTCAAGAATTTCTATTTTTTTTTCAGGGTGAAGGCCAAGCATATACTGTACAGTACAGTACTAAACATTAAATGCATATTGTACCTCAAGAAACTTCCTGTAAGACCAAGTTTGGCTCCTATATTTTTACTTCAAAACACACAAACATCAGTAGGAAACATAAAATATTGTACTAACATATATAACAATAAAACAAATATATATACGTACGTACAGTACTGTGCCGGCAATACTCTACTGGATCATATATACCTGTTCACCACTGCATAAATTAATTACTGTATGCATAGACAAATATTTCAAAACAAACACAAACATCCTGTATGAGGGGACAGAATATATTGTACAACACACCACACCTAACACTGTTATTTAGCCAACAGTGGCTATCAACTACAATGAGTTGGGTGCGTGCAGCACCAAGCAGCCTTAATTTCACAATGTACATATGATGATCATAAAGAACAACAATATTTTTTTAGATTCTAAGTTGCAAACTCCTGTATAATTCTGCTGTAAAATATTAATAGTTAAAATTCTTGTTTTCAATGGAGCACAAGTTCATGTACACTTCTCTAAAGTATGCAAAATACGGTATACAACCTACCAGGGTCCTTCCCAGAACATGTTCAGTGGCTCAAATGTCCCCACTTTATTTTATGTAGAACAGGTATAATATGTAAGGAAAATCATATTACTGCACATGTGCATCTTTCAGTTGTTACAGTCTAAGAAGTACTTACCATAAGGAGAAACAAGCCATTTTAGCTTCAATTTAATATGGATGGGTTAGTGGAACAAATTTACTCACGTTTACATTAGATAAACATACCCTTGAGCACAGAGAACATTATACAGTACTGTATAGAGAGCAACTAGACATAATACTTTCCCTCATCAAATACTGACCATGAACTATATTCAAATCGTTAATGACTGAAAATCACACATTTACATTTGTGAATTTGATACTTTTAAGTACCGTAAGTATTTAAAACATATTTACAACTGATAACCTCTTAGACACATCCTCACAGCAGCAAAAACAGCATACAGTATATATATATGCATAAGAAATAAATAAACAAATGATAACAGTAGCTGGAAACTTGAAATCCCATTTCAGTAATGAGACCCCAAGTGGATGATACGTGTACCCAAACTTGTCTCAATCTGTGATGCTCAGAAACCATATAACACCTTGACAGAGCTGCTAGTTACTGCAGATATGTATCTCCACCTAGCTGTGACCTGAGCAATAAAAGGGCTCTGTTTGAGGTGTTGGTGGTACAACAATAACATACTTGCCTTTCACCATGATAATCTTGGATTAAATCCCCGAAGGGATATCTTATCTTTGTATCATAAAAAGAGCAAGAATTCTCAAAATACATTATAGAGTACTGTAAATACTGCTAGCTGAACTTCCTTTTTTAAAACATTAAATCTGCCTTCCATTTCAGATAATTATCTGTATGTTCATCACAGCCAGATCTGTTTTAACAAAATGTCTTTCAACGAAAGGCCAAATTACTTACAAGTACAGCACGGGTTGCTGATATGACATTCTACCTCATTTACACACAATTGCAGGGTTTCAATTGTTTCTCTTACATTGACAACACAACATACATACTGTACAGTACTGTATATCGTTTCTCACTTTTAATCTTTTTTCTTTTTTATTTAATCTGTATTTATGGTCCTTTACTATTACAGGTATTATTATTATTATTATCATATCATTTTAATTTAATATCTTTATTATTTATCATTATTATTATTATTGTATTTCCCCCCCAAGCCTTGATGTAGGTCATTGGCCTGTGCTTGGGTGGGCTAATCTCATAAAATAAAAAAATACTATACAGTACTTTGAATCAAAATCTAATCTTCATGAAGTGAATACGAAGATACTCCCACATGTTGACCAACAAATTAGTTCAGCAAGGACATTGCATAATATAATCCAACTCTTGCATCCCGATACAATGTGTTCTTTATATTTTGAGCAAATACACACACTACATGACTTGCCACAACTGCAAACAAAAAACAATACTATTAAGTCTCCAATCAGTGAAAGAAAAAGATGAAGTGACCAAAAGTTTGGAGACCACAGACACACCTACAGTAACTAGTATGATGCCAGTTAGAAGTGAGCGTGGAGAGACATGTGATGATGACATGAAACACACGACACATTAGGCTTCTGTTTTTAACGAAAAGAGCTATTTCTTGGAGAACCTTCTTAGGACCATAGTTATGATTGGAAGATGCTGACTTACAGTAACTAGCCAATCTCTAAATGTTACATGGACTCTAAATCCTGTTGACTGAGACTGGTCTGATAACATCAGTCACCGCTGGAGGTCATACGCATAAAACATTAAGATAACAAGTCTTTGGCCTAGATATTAAAGACATGAACATAAAGCAGTGGCACATTGGACTATGGGACCTGAATAACCACATAACTTTGATAATAACAGATATACAATCATATGGAAAAACAGTACAGTACACATACAGTGATTCTGGCAGCACTCATTATCCCCACCATTAGCGAACAAAACCCCATGAGACTGTTGATCAAAATCTACTGTGATTTACTGTTTAATTCCCTAAAATAAGGATAAAACATTGATAAAAATATTCTTTCTCTTTAATTTACCTATAATATCAATTACTTTACTTACATAAAATTTTCATTACCTGTATTTAATACTAATTTGTACTTTATCATATCAGCTGCAATTAACTGAAAAGGTTCTATATCTATAAATAAGATGAAAAATAAATTGTTTTGAAAAGTTGATTTACAATATTCAACCTGATAAGCCCCACCTTGCATAAGATCTTGACCCATCTAACAACAGTACGGTATAGAGTCGCACACCATCGGAGGCTGTGTCCAGGACCAGTGAGGCTTTAGGTCAGTAGAGGTACACACGTCAAAGCCTTCCCACCATAAAAGAAGTTAGTACAGTACTCTGACTCTCAACTCCTGCTTATCTCGACTCATAAAAGACATGGAAACCAGGCCACTAATTTCTTCCCCTCAGTCACACAAGGTGATCTCTTCCTTTAATCCCTCATTTACAGTACAATCTACATGTTATTAAAGACCTCCATATGTAAATTGTTTGAGAAAATAAATGAAAGAATAGAAATGAATCCTATATTGAAATTATTCTGTCTAACTTAGCTGACCCCTGACACCACCCGACTTTTGTTCCACAGGAGATCCAACCACCTGAACATTTCCATATTAATAAAAAATTTCTCCTCTGTAGGAAGATTTATAAGTTATCTGCATATCTATTTATGAAGCTCTTTTGAAGGACAAGATGAACCAGACACCAGGAAAACAAGGTAAAGATTTTCTCCTTTCATAAGATATTGATGAATATTCTGGATATCTTCATAAAGAGTCTTGATATTATCTTTTTTCAGAGAGTGAGAGGTCTGACACTGTAGGAAATATAGTTTGTTCTATACATATTTTGGCTTAAACTTAGATCCCTCAGTATAAGTAACTAGTGCTGCTGAAACCTCCATCATGATCATTATATACAATCTGTACTGAACTGTATTGTGTACTGTACTGTACTGTAAACTGTACTGTACTAATGAATTCCACATTGACCAATACTGTACCGAAATAAATGGTTATCTAAAAACCGATATCCTTAGAAATTACCTTTAATTCAGAACCCATAACAGTCAAATGGCCAGAGCTAAGACTGAGCATTGTACTCACCATACTGAAGGGCATACATGTACAAGCCCGGCCATGGAAGGGGCGGCACCGAGGTTCAGGGTGGATAGTTGCATAGCACTTAAACTCTGCTAAGCATTCTCCAAGTCTCTACAACACATAACAGAAGCCTTTAAGTATATAAGAACATTGAGGTTTTGTAAGTTAAGATTCCTAAGTAAATGGCTGGTAAAGAACACATCCAGTTCTCATAGTTGCAGTGTAATTTTAACATCAATTAAGTAAGCTAGTTAACCATGCTCCCATATAATCAGTTGTGGGAAAAATTTAAAGGGAATATTCTAGAATCTGGACCTTTCTGAACTGATGGCATTTTCAAGACACTTATGAAATTTGTGACAATTAACGATAAATATTCCGATATAAAGTGGGTCCTATATAGCCATGACTGGCCATTAGGGCGAGTGTGGACACAGCACACTGTATTCTAAGCCTTCGGTACACAACAAGGCAGCATGGCCGGTACTGCACTTGACCGCATTCACTCCCCCCAAGTTGTAAACTTAGGCACCCATTTACAGCTGGGTGAACTAGGAGCACCCAGGAATCGAACCACCGACCCCTGGAACAGGAGGCGAGTGCTGTATTCACCCAAATTCTTCCTCATAGCAAATGCAAATAAATAATAAAGCCCTGCAGCTCCATATCTGATTATCGCTCAAGACACAGTTGCCAAGCATCTCTTCACAAACACATTCTACTTACTGCTACCAAGTTTTGATACTCAAGTTATTTCCACAATTCATAGTTATCCTTTCACAGTACCGTAACTGCATGGGTTGGATCTACCACAAAGGACCAAGTGATATATCTAAAATATATTAATGATTAAACTAATACTGTACAAAAATAGTACAAAGTGGAAACTAAAATCCAATAATTACAATTTGATTAAGAAGAAAACTGGCAGATGAGTCACGTGTTCTCCTCGTGTACTTTGATGGCCGGGGGGCTGGAACATAACGTGCTGGAGCCGACTGACTTTGGTTCCAACCAAAATTATTTCGAGGTTTCCCCCGGTTTCTTTGACCTCCTCTCCTGTTTGTTCCTTGACCGTTGAAACAGTTTTGTTTGGAAGGACTACTGCCATCTTCTGAAAGGATACACACTGCCGATGAGAATATACATACAGCATACAGTACTTAAAACACTACGTATTAACTAAACCCACGATATCATTTATCAATTCCTCCTTGTACAGTATAGGTTGAGATTAGCCAGGAAAGGTCTACCTTAACTAAATACATTAAACAGTAATGGACATAAATCTTTAATTTTACTGTACAAATATTTCTGAATCATTGTCATTAACCTTGAGTTACTGCAATACTAAAAAATAAAAATAAATAAAAATCCTTCTGATTAGCTAATCAATTCTCTTATACAGGGTACTAGGTCATTCTGAAGACCTTGTAGTCACATAATGCCCTTAGGTGAGCCCAAGTTTCCTGTAAGAAGTAATATATTCTGGTACTTATAAAGAAATTAGATTGTAAGTGTATATTGCACAGTAACATCCCTGATAGCTGGAATCTTCTATTGCCAGAACCTTCCAATACTGTACCAAGAAAATAAAATTAATGTTCCAAGAAATTCCAAAAACATCTCTCCATTCCAGGCATTCAAATGAATTTCAGAGAGATTGCATCATGAGTGGGTGGGCTAGCTGTATGGAGGTCGTAGGCCTAGAAAGCCTGTGCACTGTGATTGGTTATTACAGTACTGTATGGTCATATGACTCCATGAGATGCGTATGATTGGGTAATGTATCTCTCAGCCTATCCCCTTAAACTCTAGCATCAAGATGTGCTCTTAGTTCATTGTCTGCTGCCATTGTACAAGCTTCTTTACTCACTTGCTGCTGTTTTCCATTTTAATAAACATTAGGGACAGCAATACAGACCCAAATTGCACCCTGCCGGCATCTGCCAGCACAAAAGATCAGTGGGAGGAACTTAGGTGGTTGATAGAGACAGTCCACTGATCTCGCACTTCTGTTTACAGGAGGGGTGCTCTCAGTGTGAGATACAGCTGAGAAATAGGGGTTGCACTACCACGGGAGTGCTTAGCAACACAATTTGCATCAAAACTACAAGAAGGTTAAGCCTCCCTAGCAATGGTGTTCCATGTCAGACGTGTAGTTTACACACAGAGACATTCACCATTGCCCGGAAAAAAATCCGTAAGTAAGCAATTTTTTCCAGCGATAAGGATCAGTCTCAATACCCGGAAATTTCTAAAACAAGGAAACTTTTTGCACCAATTGTTCTGTATTGCACAATATTTCATGATCACTTAGTATGCACTGGAAAATATGAAAGCATTGTGAATCAGTGTACAGTTTAACAAGTCACTCTGGGAGTCTGTGTACTGTATATAAAATACAGGCTGAAGGTATGGGTGCACATTTTTAACTTTTGTCTTATCCATTTCCTGTCACCTTCTTAACTTATCATTCTTTGATATTTCTATTTACTTTAATCCATTGTACTGGAGAGGAATAAAGATAGGAAAAGAATACAGGGTTCAATCCCACTTCAGAGTGTAGTGTCTTTGTTGACAGGTGAGTGTTGTAACATTCTCCCTAATCATATAAAAACCAATCACCCACACATACACAGCCCTCACTACTCATAATGACTGAGATATATACTGTACACTATTAAAATACTGTAAATACATTTATCCCAAGTTGAAATTAACCTTTTCGCAGTGGGAGGTTACCCTTAGCTGAATAAAATCGTCTGGCGGTAGCCAGAATAAAATGGCAAGTGCGTGAAACACGGCAAAAGGGTAAAATGAAGAAAGGATGTTATTCAAGACTAGTTCACTCTCCTACCATGATCAGTGTAGATATGTCCTGCATGAGACTGAGCATTTTGGTGGCTATAGAGTCGTGGTGGGGGTGTGGCCCAGGGATCACCGACTTTCTGCAACTTGGGTAAAACATCCACCATCACTGCACATTATCTGAAACACAATGTCATTATGAGAGAAGATAAAAATACTGCCTTAAATCTTTCATAAAAGAAAAAATATGCACTTTAGCACTACAGTAAGTTCTGTACAGGTGCCATAAGATGAGAATCTGATTTTGACCACAACTTAGAAAAGAAAAATATTGTGTGGTTCTGTTCTTCATATTCACCAAATTATTGATAAACTTTTAAAAATACCTAATTCAAAACACCTATAATTTTCTTCTCATGAATAAATTTATCATATTCCTTTTTCAAACAAATATTAAGCACCGGGAAAGATCAGACAAATGAAAATGTCAAATTTAATCACCAAGGCAACCTCTTACCAAACACATTTAAAGGAAGGTGACTTGAACTAATGAAGGTTATATGACATTAGAAATAACAAAGCACTAGCTAACCTTACATCAAAAAGAGAGCTGTCACATTCAAATTATGAACCAATAATAACTTTCTTTTTTGTACTCAAGTAAATGAAAACAAACCATCAATGAGCTGTGTGTGATTTTAAGAAGACCAGACTACAGAACAATGTATCTAGTCGTACCTATGTTTGGCATTGTTCAGTAAGTAGTCTGTTTTCATTCATCATCAGTGTATAACTAATTAGATAAAATTAGTTATGATAGAGGGGTCAGTTCAGCTCCAGTCATATTTCATAAATGATAAAATACTGCTGTTCCTGTCATTGGTGGTGCAAAAGATGGTCAAGTGTGGTTATTAATGTACAGTAGCTCAAACAACTATCTGTGCATACTTTGTGGGAAACACTATGGGACCACAGACGATAAATATTGGTATATGAGAGCTGTCACTAGTCACACATAAAATTTCGGAGCATATCGACCCCCACCTGCACAAATAGTTGCTTTAGCTACTGTACATACCAGTATTAAAGGTGACCCTAAGTAACCAGCAAGTGCATATTATAATGATTTACTTACCCACTCTAATTAGCTACCATAATTAACATAAATGGTGGAAATGATCAGGCATCCTCCACCACAATTACCAAAAATTCCTTGATATACAGTCAGTCCCCGACTTACGACGGGGTTAGGGACCAACATCTAGGTCGTAAGTCGAATTGGTCGTAAGTCGAAAATGCGAAAATTTAGAAAATCTAAAATGGGTGTCTCTTTTTCTTCTCAGCACCACGAAACTCTCACTTTTACGCTTGCCAGCCATTTTAAAGGGAATTACAAATGAATATTTTGTCATTACTGTACACAGCGCAATCACTAACGCCGGGACTCGAAAATAAGTACAGTAATTTGAAAAAATTTTGGTACGACTGTGGCGGTCGTATGTCCGGGTGGTCGTAAGTCGAGGAGTAACTATGTAGTTTGCCCATCAAAGGTAACCACATTGGAAATAACAGTAATTTATGAGGAAACCGCTACCACCAGAAGGAGTTGTTAGACTTCATTCATTTTGCGACAGATGTTTTTATTACTGTATTATAATAAGTATTTTGAAGGAGGCAACAACTTTTTATTTCAATTACCGGTATAAGTTTTTCTCTATCTATAATCATAAATCACCTGCAGTGGGCAGGGCATGAAGGATGAAGGAAATTGTGGGGCAAAACAAGGTGAAAAACTTATCATATGACACTAAAATGATGTCTACGTGCTTTGTATGTGAATAAATTAATTACTTACTGTAAATACTCCTCCAAAATATCTGCCAAGTAACCACGTGTCGTCTGTTTGTTTACAACTGACCCGCTCTTTTAAAATACTTCCTATGTATAGTGATAAGAACATCTGTGGAAAAAATGAACAAAATCGAACAACTCCTTCTGGTGGTAGCGGTGTTCTCATACATTACCGTATTAATAACTATTACTAATACTTTAAGTGTTAGCCTTGGTAACTGTTAATGTTTGTATGCTTGCAGTGTAGAAATGTTTATAAATGTATAATTACCTGTGTGAATGTTTATACTGTATATGCATGCTTGTCATGTATGTATGATTATGTACAGTATGTATTAGGTATGCCTGTACTGTATGAATATAAATGTGTATGCTTGTACTGTATGAATGTTTATGAATGTATACTTGTAGTTTAAATGTTTATATTTGTATGCCTATTCTATATGAATGTTTATAAATGTATACATGTACTGCATGAACCCTTACAATATAAATTAAAATCAAATCAATTGAACTTTTACCCAACATTCACGAAATATAAAAGAGAACAAAGTCACTAAACTTTGTTATTGTTAATATTTCCTAAATGAAAATATGAATTTATGATATAAATACTCAAATCACACATACACTAATAAGGGAGTGTATCCTCATAATGTATATAAATGACAACGTGAAGCTTTAGCCTCTTGATTCAGTTCACTTCAGCATGACCGATGAGATGGATATTTCTTCCGTTAAAATCATCAATGTTCACACCAGTTTAGTATATACAGACTAAACTGTGGCCAAGGTTAAGGAATTTTTATAGTACTGTAGTTCACACAACATTCCTACTACGAATCTTTTATCATATTAGAAAAAGACGTCTAATTTTAAGATAATTTTCTTCTATTACATTACCGTCGGAAACATATACTTTACGGAGAGAGCGCATGCCAAATCTTTCTCTATCTAATTCCAATAATTTTCAGCCATTATCGCCTACCCGACCTCCCACTCAGCTTGTTACCTTCATAAATCGTCATGCGCATGCGTTCTCGTACACGTCACGCGGCCAATCAAAAGCGTTATTTTTTTTGCACCAATTAAAATTAATTGTGGATTCTGCTTTTAGAATTCGTTGTATTTTTGGCCCAATCAAATTTGATTGAGATTTTGGGTCTCTCATGCTTCGAAATTCAAATTAATTTCCGACCATGGAAGTCTGTGATGGGTGTCACTTCCATTATATAAAGTTAATTGTGCATTTTGGGGAGAAAACGAACAAGCAACAGCATTTTTTAGATCCCATGGTGATCTTCCGACCTCAGTAAAGATTTTAATTCGGAATAAGGTAAGAAATAACAGTGATTCCCTCATATGGTGAGAGTCTGGTTACGTAAAAACACCGTGAGTTAGGTTAGGTCAGGTTAGGTCAGATAGGATAAGTCAGGTTAGGTGAGGCCAAGTTAGGTGAGGCCAAGTTAGGTGAGGTCAGGTTAGGATAAGTCAGGTTAGGATAGGTCAGGTTAGGTCAGGTTAGGTTAGGATAAGAACATGAGAATGGAGGAAACTGCAGTGGGCCTATTGGCCCATACTGGGCAGCCCCATTTACACCAACCCCTATTGCTCATATATCCATCCAACCTGTGTTTGAAGCTATCCAGCGTATTCGAGTTAATGATGATATTTGGTAACTTGTTCCACTCTATTTCTAAACCAATGTTTACCTATTTCGCGCCTAAATCTAAATTTGTCTAATTTAAAACCATTGTTACAAATTCGCTCCTGGTTGGATAGTTTGAGTACCTTTGTAATGTCCCCTTTGCTCAGTCCTGACTTCCATTTATACACCTCTATCATATTGCCCCTCACTCTATGTCTCTCGAGGGAGTGCAAATTAAGATTAGGTTAGGTCATCCAGAAAAAAGGTTAGGTTTAAATGTTTTTCTCGGGTTTTATTGTGTAATTTGTATTCACTTGGCCATGATTTTTGTCGGAAAAAGCCCCACCCCGGTTCCCAACATGATCCCCAATTTTGTTGGGGGTAGAAGGGGGCGATAACTAAAAAACAGGCAACTTCCGACGGAAATCAAGGTTAGAACCAATCAAAACACACACAAATACACTAGAAAAACATAGTTTTGACTTTTCTAAAAGAATACAGACCAAATTCACTACACTTTGTTCTTGTTAATATTTCCTAAATGAAAATATGAATTTATGATATAAATACTCAAATCACACATACACTAATAAGGGAGTGTATCCTCATAATGTATATAAATGACAATGTGAAGCTTTAGCCTCTTGATTCAGTTCACTTCAGCATGACCGATGAGATGGATATTTCTTCCGTTAAAATCATCAATATTCACACTGGTTTAGTATATACAGAGACTAAACAGTGTGGGCATACCAACCATGGCAAAATTTGTCAATTCAACCATAATATCACCCAAAAAAACGTAGTCAAAGTGAATTTCTAGTGATGTGTTTGACATATACTGAGAATATTCGATCTGTTGCCATCCACCCTTCCTTCCCAAGACTGTAATTTTTCCCATTTTATCTTCCTTGTCTCCCATTACCAGTTCGTAGGGTAGTTATATAATACAAAGAGAAATAAATAGAAGTGGCCACGACTGTTTCCATTGCTTACTTGTCACAATAGGTGATAATGGACGGCGGCGGCACTTAACACTAGTTTACTCTCTCGTGTTGTTGTGTTCTGCAAGGAAAAATGTGAATGTTGTAAAACTACCTCGAACATGGCCATTAACCATCTTTTTTGTCTTTTTAGTATTTAAAATTCAAACTTAACCTTAGCTAAAGTTGTTATTAAAGCTTTAGGTAGTTTATAATAGCTTTGTTATTTCCTGTTACTTGACGAATGAATTGTTTCGACGTAATGTCGTGGTTACTTTTAACATCAACACTTTTACGTTTAGTCACTGACAGCGCTGGGTGTAACGTTCATTAACCAATAAAATCAACTTTCTACCATTACAAGAGATATTTTATTTCGCGTCATTTTATTCAGATTCATTATCAAAACAAAAAATTATGTGCATTTTTATATTTTTTATCTATTTTTTTTAAGATTTGCTATCAAAGCAAAAATGAGAAATATTGTTGAAAGATGTTAGTCACTGAAGAGATTATTGTTAATGTCAGTTATCTTAAATGTTTTTTCTCTCAATAAAATTGTCTTGCAACTTCGCACTAATTCAGCATATACAGTACATAACGCACATATATATGCATTGGAAAACGGAAGTTTTATGCAGCCAAAGAAAAACCCGGCAGGTATGTTATTTTTTATTTTTATCCTTTTTGCCACTGATCGGCTCGTTAGCCAATTCCGCGGTTGGTGACGTCTGTCTGTTATGCGCTGTTGGCAAGTACAGGGCATGTTCTGGGGTACAGATACATAATGTATCTGTACGCCTTGAAAGAGCTCACACTCGGTGCCGTCACAACACTAACAGGTTGTACCAAGAGTTCACAATTCTCACTCCGAAAAAGTTTGCCTTCATTTTCTGAACTTGTGGCTTTTTTTAACCTAGGCAGCTCGCCAGTGTTTATATATACGGTATACCTCTGCTCAGACGATGCCCAGAACATCTTAGCACCATCCAGGCATTGCAAGTCGGGACAAGATACGCCTAGAAGGTTCTCGAATGATCTAAGCTTACAGTACATAAGTAAATCACAACAAAAATGACATAATACATTCTAGAAAATTCTTACATGGGTAATAAATATATCAACATATAAAAGAAATCTTCCCAAACTTGCCAAAATAACTACTGCTTGGAATATAAAATAATCAGAACACCTAGTTCACAAAATATATAATACTAAATTATGCCTCGGTATAACAATATATAAACCATAGATGGCACGACAAAGGACAAGGAACAATGAAAACAAAATAAAAAAGAAAATGCATTACGTTTGTTATGAAACTAAGATACATAGCAAAAATGCAATCAAGTTTCAAATACTATGGTATTGACAAAATAATAAATGTAAACTACACTGATGATTGGTGCTAACATCTCGATGGTTAAATATGTTTTACAGTGCAGTACATGTGTTAATTTTCGTATCAGTTATTTGAAGTAGTTAATCAGATCTATTTTAATGTCTTATCCTCATGACAGTATATAAATTTCACATCATGATCATCACAACGAATCTGCATATTTGCTACAGTATACTCTTTAATCTTGTAGCAGTTCTATATTTAATTTTAAGAAACGTTCACATACAACGCCATAGTCTGTCTATGTATAATGCCTTCGTATAAATAAAAGCTCAGCATATAAGCTCAACTGAACTCCATCCACTGTTTCGTATTGCGGATTCAGTTCATTCTCTTCATAAGTAATCAGTTTGAACCCCAGAGCTGTGAGGCCTCTCACCACAGCCAGGTAGTCGGCGATGGCAGCCCGCTGTCCCTCCAGTGTCGTGTCCCGCAGGTCGTCCAAATGAACCTGGTAACCACACCACCAATAGTTATTGTTCTGCCTACTACTACTACTACTACTACTACTACTACTACTAATAATAATAATAATAATAATAATAATAATAATAATAATAATAATAATAATAATAATAATGATAATAGAACTGTACATGTTTTAGTACGCGACATCAAGTAAATAGACGATAAGATAAAATATATATGGGTTCTTAACCTAACCTAACCATATTGAAGAAAATTCTTATCTTCTGATCATCTCGTTCTTTTAATAATGTAGATTGAAGTGCTTCCTGTGAACTTAACACCATGAAAACAAATAAAAACTCGGCTTAAAGGACTTATCTCAGAGGTAAGACTTACCTCAAGAGAGAGCTGAGAGACGGTGTCGAGGACGTGAGTGTGGAGTAGGACTTGTCTTATCACCTTCCACTCCTGACCCTCAATGTCCATCTTGAGGTAGTTCACTCGCCGTGTGTCGTGACCCAGCGACCTGCAGGTGGTGGTGGTGATGATAGAAGTGGTGATGGTAGTGATGGTGATAGTGATGGTAGAAGTGGTGGTGGTGGTAGTGGTGGTGGTGATGGGAGCGGTGGTGATGGGAGTGATGATGGTGATGGGAGTAATGATGGTGGTGTTAGTGGTGGTGGTGATGGGAGTGATGGCGGTGGTGATGGGAGCGGTGGTGATGGGAGTGATGATGGTGATGGGAGTAATGATGGTGGTGTTAGTGGTGGTGGTGATGGGAGTGATGGCGGTGGTGATGGATGATGGTGGTGGGGTGATGGTGAGTGGTGTGATGGTGGTGATGGGAGTGATGGTGGTGGTGAGTGGTGGTGGTGGTGGTGATGGGAGTGATGGCGGTGGTGATGGGGTGATGATGGTGGTGTTAGTGGTGGTGGTGGTGGTGATGGGAATTGATGGCGGTGGTGATGGGAGTGATGATGGTGATGGGAGTAATGATGGTGTGTTAGTGGTGGTGGTGATGGGTGATGGCGGTGGTGATGGGAGTGATGATGGTGATGGGAGTGATGATTGTGGTGTTAGTAGTGATGGTGGTGGTGATGGGGTGATGGCGGTGGTGATGGGGAGTGATGATGGTGGTGGTGATGGGAGTGATGATGGTGATGGGAGTGATGATTGTGGTGTTAGTAGTGATGGTGGTGGTGATGGGAGTGATGGCGGTGGTGATGGGGTGATGATGGTGATGGGGTGATGATGGTGTTGTAGTGATGGTGGTGGTGATGGGGTGATGGCGGTGGTGATGGGAGTGATGATTGTGGTGTTAGTGGTGGTGGTGGTGGTGATGGGAGTGATGGCGGTGGTGATGGGAGTGATGATGGTGGTGGTGATGGTAGAAATGGTGTTAATTTTGATTTTTGTTTCTATTAGTATTGATCCGCCTGTCTCCTTGTCTCTGTCTACTTCCTCGTCTGTCTTTGCCTCTTTCTATGTCCAACTGTGTCTATATGTTGGTCTGTATTATTCCGCATAGCTTTCCCTGTATATGTATCTGTTTGTCTCTGTTTTCTGTCTATGAGTATCTGCATTTCTGTCCGTCTATCTTTCCGTGTCTTTGTATTTCTGTCCGTCTGTCTTTCTTTGTTTCCAGTTCTCTGTCTGCCCCCCCCCCCCTTTTTTATAAAAAATACCTGCGTATATCGGCCATGGTCTGGTAGCGGAGAGGGAACTCACACAGGCTGCTGTTCCTCTCACAGTAACTGATATAAAGACAAATATATATTAATAACATTTACTTAAGTGTATAAATAGTACAATAAAATCTACAAGATCTTACATAAAATATTAAGCTGCAAAAATCTATTAATATAATGTAAATATGGGCCTATGGAACCCAATTTCACGTGTAGCCTCAGTAGCCTAACCTTATGTAGCCGTTGTTGATACCGATCCTGGCCTTGTGGAAGAAGACGAAGGGACCCACACGGTAATCATAGTTCTCATGGTCTTGGTCGTGATCGAAGGAGTGCACCTCACACCCGAAGTCCTGTGGGATGATTTGGGTAGTCTTTTAGAGATCCTTATGAGAGCGGGGATGATTCAAGAATTTTAAAGGCATCGTCAAGTGGGGAGGATGATTGTGGGAGTCTTCTAGGGCAGGGGTTTTCAAACTATGGGTCCCGACCCTTCAGTGGGTCACGAAATAAATAAATTGGGTCGCAAAATAAAAATGGGTCGTGAAAATAAATAAGAAAAAAAAATAAAATGGGTCGCGAAAATAAATAAGAGAATAAAAATAAATGCACCATAATTTAGGCTTGGTTATTGTAATGTACACTCCACAGTCTAGGAAGCGACTGCAAGGAGAGCATTTCCTGATTCTTTCTTTACCTCTCATGTCATCCGTTTTGCGCAGAAAAACTCGTAATCGTAGTTTTTTCCCCCGTAATCTAACCTAAGCTAACCTAACTTAACCTAACAGTGTTTGTCTTTGATTTACTCATTTCATATCATTACACTTAGGTTCAATGGGTCGCAATTCAAATTGTTGTTCTGGCTGCGTGTCGCAGTAAAAAAAGTTTGAAAAACACTGTTCTGGGGGTTGTCAAGAGGGGAAGGATGGTTGTGGGAGTCTTAGGGATTGTCAAGAGGGGGAGGATGATAGTAAATTTATGAGTCTTTTTGAAACGTCAAGAATATTTGATTAAGTCAAGTAAATAAACCATCAAGTAGTAAATATAACAGTCGAAGTAAGACAGTAACTCACCTGCATGCGTTCGTCGAAGCTGAAGTCGTTGCCAACACCAAATGAGTAGATGAGGCAACGGAGAGGTTGAAGCCTGACGTCCGCATCGAAACACACAAGCTGAAAAGATTTTTATTTTAAGGATGATTATTGCAGCATACTGTTTGAGTTATCTTGCAGTATATGAATCAGGCGTGTAACAAGCTGTAATAAGTTTCCTGTGATTTAAGAATCTTTATTAAGTTTATATAAGGTTTTCATTCGCCAGCATGTACGTCATTTAGCTTACGAGTAATTACTCAAAGTAATATTTCAAAAGTTTATAAAATTTAGGTTTTACAGAATTAATGTCATATAAGACCCATCAAAGATTAATAAATCATAATCTTGCCATGAGTTAACTAAAGATGACACCCACCTTGGACCCGTCGTAGGCTCCTAAGCAAGAGCGCCCTCCCACCCTCACCAGTCTTTTACAGGTGGTGGTTGGCACTGTCAGAAGCCGTCGCAGGAGCTGTGCCTTGTTTTTCTCCTCCTCAGATTGGTGTTGATTCAGAGTTGAGGGAGAGCGGTGACTCACCCTCACGTCACTGGCACTCACTAATCGACGATTATGAAGACTACGAGGTACTTCTATACCTTGAAAAACTCTCTCGGCGTGGTTCAACAAGTCGTTCTCAGATGTTTGAACGATATCATAATTCCTATCAAGCGTTCTGTCTTTGTTCCTTACTAAAGGCTGCAGATAAGCCTTTGCTGCCGCAGAAGCCTTGTCATCGTCTTCCTGTTGGTCTTCTACGTCAACAACATGGGCAGTTTCCACCAGGAGTTGGGGATAGTCGAGGGAGATGGTGTGAGGCGCAGGTAGCGACGAGAACCGCGTCAGGTAGGTCCTAACACTCATCACCACCACCAAACATATCCCAAACCACCCGACATCTGGCCAAACACTCCTGCTGACCTTCATATTTTTCACAGGTTTCATTTCTTTATAGTAAACATTGGTTTAACTGCGCTTTATTACACTCCGTATTCACCTTTTCCATGCACTCACTAACTGACGTTCGTTGTTATTATTTGTTCTTTTTTGTTACTTTCACTTTTATCTTGTAACACATGCTGCTTAAGCGATGTTACTCTGTTTATAACCCCAATTTACGTTATCCTTCTCGTCACTTGTCAGGTTACGATTCACTGTTGTTACGCACTGCTGGGAAGTACTGAGGATGAATGGGCTCGTTGCCATTCACTTTGCTTTTTAATTTCGCAAACTCTACGCAGTCATCCTAAGATAACAATAGACATGACCTAGATATTATTATTATGCTTTATTTTTCATCTTACTAAAGAATTCTTAGTGCTGGAAGAACTATGCATACGTCGGTATATTGTACCTCGAAAATGTACTATGCGACAGCCACCAGGAGCTTTTACTGTGGCGACACCCACTCGCCCAACCAGGAAAAACAGCGAGAAATTGGACTTAATTACATTTATATAAATCATAAGACTTCTTGAATATTGAAATGATTTACGAGAAAGATTCTGGGATGAATGTTGAAACTTTTTATCCTTGTGGTCACAAACTATCGTGGAGTTTGTTCGGTCACTCTGGTGTCCCTCCAGGTCCCCCCCGCCCCCAAACTAGCCTCATCCCTCGCAGCTATTGCTAACGTGGCCACCTGCTCCGTTCTCATTTCAGGACGAACGGAAAAATATCGGTGTTATCACAAAGGCTTTTGGTGTTACTACACGGATCAGTACCACCATCATTGACATCCACGATTACCACAGTTAATATAACGAACACCACCACCTCCGTGCTCAGTGAGTGTAAGACTGTGTATAGGTGCGAAGGTGGATGGACGTCGTATTGATACATTATCATAAAAGTCGTGTTTCAATTCTTAAAGGCAACCTCTGACTGAATATTTAGTCATAGATTTCGCTCAACTTTCCATTTCAATGACTAATCTCTACATCCTACACAGAACAAGATAAAATAAATGGCTCTTTTCTGTTGTGGGTTACATTTCCTTAATAAGGATAAGGGAGGACTCATTGCAAACGTCAGGAAATTGCCGTTTACCTCACCCGTCTCGCTTACCTGGCGGCAATTTTAGTATCCTTTTCACATTTTAAACCATAAGACTATTGAGTGAGCTGCGTGGAGAATTTAGTGGCAAATGTAATATAAAAACACCCTCTACAGTTTTGCAATGTTAAATTAAAAGTAGAGATCCCCCCCTATGAGGTCTAGTAATCGTCTAGTAACTGTGGCAGCCGTCGTCCCTCTGCTGCTCAGAAACTATAGTTTGATTCACTCTCAAGGTGGAATACGAATGTAGGTCAATACTGTACTGAAAACCCCCCATATTTATTATATCAAGGTTATAAATCCCACAGGTGGAGGAAGCCACACGAGGCAATAACCTTACGGCGGCACACCCAATACTTGAATATATAAATTCAAAATGAAAATTAATCTATTGTTTGGAATAAAGACTAAACTTCTTCAAAAATTTTCATCAAAGTGTAAAGTTGTGATTCTCATGGCAGGATGTATACTGTGTTTGCTATTGAAATACAAATGTCTCCCAAAGATATATTTTCCTCGCAACCACAGCCATATTAAACTGTCTCTACAAGGTGGTACATTGGCAACCTTGAGCCTCACCGCACTGTTTGTAAACTTTGTGGCCAACCCGACTCTCATACCCTCTCTCACTACATCCTCACTTGCCCTATGACCTCCTCCTATAGGTCCCCAGCCGTTACCAACACCTCTTCCCTCCCAGACCAGATATCCCTCCTCCTAGTCACAGGCCTGGCATTTGATATTATTAGGGACCTGCCACTCTTTGCCATAAACAGATAAAATGTACCGGGAACTTTCCCCCCACACACTCATCATTCTCTCACTTTATGTAACTTGACAGAACCTATGACCCTTCAGGCTTTTACGCCCTTAATGTACGAGTCATAAAGGCAAGTATGAACTTTTCATACTTCCCTGTTGGGCGCTGTAAACGCTTCTGCGCTTCACCTTGCACAGGATGTAAAGGGGTGCCCAATAAACTAGCCCCCTCGGGGGCAAATCTGAATCTGAATCTACAAGGTGGATTTATCCCGTTTAAGAATACCACAACAAAGTTGATAACAGATGTGTACACATCGAAAAGCACAAACCATTCACAGAAATAGCACCGGAACTTTTTACGCGTGGTCAACCCATTGGCCTCACCCCTGTAACCAATACTCCTATCCTAATTGATACCAACTTTAACCAACGTAAAAATTGGGCCAGACTCACTATAACTCATTACACGCAGCATAAAAAAATATTAACCTTAATCGAGCCAAATCCAATCTGATCCACCCACCCAAATTTAATCTAACCCACCCACTTAAATTTAATCTAATTTGATCCACCCACCCAAATTTAATCTAACCTACCCACTCACCTTTACGCCCACTGGTGGAGGAAGGGTGGTAGGTATTTTTATTTTTTTTATTGGGCACTCCCCTACATCCTTGTGTAAGGTGAAGCGCAGAAGCGTTTACAGTGCCCAACAGGGAAGCATGCTAAGTACATGCTTGCCTTTATGTCTCATGAGATAAGGGCGTAGAAGCCCGAAGAGTCAAGGGCATAGAAGCCTGAAGAGTCAATGGTTTATGTCATCAAGTTATTGGAAGCTCCAACAACTTGTCCCTGATTACGAATTCGCAACTTTCGATTTACACCAGGTACCTACTTTACTGCTTGGTGAACAGGGACTAATGGGGGCTAGGAAGTATGTCCAAACAACTTCCACCGGCCCGGGAATCGAACCCGTGACATCTCGTTTGCGAAGGTAAGAGCTGTACCACTCTTCCACCAGCACCCCTGGTGGTGGGTATTGTGGGAACCAGAAGGGCCAGCCAAGACTCTGCTCCACTACCTTACCTCCCCTACCGCCTCCTGCAGGAAATTCCTTCGCCTGGTTGGCTCCTGCGACCGACGTATGGACGGTGATAAGGTGAGGTTTTTTATCTACCTGTCTAAGGCTACTAATCAAGGGATCAGGGTCTAATCTACCTGTCTATGGCTTTGAATTGAAGGTTGAGGCTCTGATCTACCTAAGGCTTCTAATTGAGGCTCTAAAGTACTGGTTTGTGGCTTCTACTGTAATTGAGGGCTGAGGCTACTGATCTACCTATCTATGGCTTCTAATTGAGAATTGAGGCTCCCATCTTCCTGTCAAAAGCATCTAATTGCAAGTTGAAGCTCTAATCTACCTTAGGCGTCTAATTTAGAGTTGAGGCTGTGATCTACGTATGGCTTCTAATTTAGAGTCCAGGCTCCTTTCTACCTGTCTAAGGCTTTATTGTTCAGTGTTTAGTGTGTTTAATACAAGAGGAAACACCCTTCTCACCTGTGTCTGGGTCAGGACTCGAGCCCAGGACAAAACTTTAAGAATTCTGTTAGGAGGACTAGTTCAGGTGATCTTGTGGTCCAATATGTGAAGGATAAACGAGAGTATATCTATATGAAGCTCTGATTGTGAGCATTTAGAATCACCGTAAACGAAGTTTGTCTCAGCATACTGTGTTAGACATTGTAACTAGTTTCTGTCTTTTCATCCATTTTCATCATTTTTTATGAGGTGGTGAATCCTGAACAACTATTGAATTTCCACACCCTTAGTCCAGTAGGAGAATGGCAAAACCAGAAAAAAATAACCACATAAATTATTTTGGAGTTATTAGGCTTAGAAATATGTCCTGATTCACGTATCTAAAATCTCCGTCAATTCCCTTTACGAAATTATTTTAACAACTCAAACAGCCAACTTAACCTTCTGTGACCTGAACAAGGGTGTTTCTTCCTGCAGGTCCTATAGACACTACACCATTCAGGTCGAGTGAGTTTAGGGTTTATTAAAAACAGCATCCCAGGTCAGTTTAGGTCAAGGGTATGAGATTCTTCCAAATGTCAATTGTAGAGACACACTGAAGTTACATTTTTATCAAAGGATAAAATAAAGAGAAAAGTAACAGAGACGTGACCGATCGCCCAAGTGGCTAATGAGCCGATCAGTGGTGAAGAGAATAAAAAGTAAAAAAGTAAAGTAAATATTGTCAGAGAATGTTAGGTTTTCTCTCAATGTCTTTGTGTATCTAAATTCTGACCAGAATGTTAGGATAATTTTCATTACAAATATTACCGCAAGCAGTAATGAGTAGGATGACACATAAACAAACACTATGTTAGGCTGTAAGTCATGTCATGTTTATTGGGTGTGCCTGCCGTATACAGTAAGTAGAGTGTTGAGATGGTTGAAGATGAGAGATCTAGAGGTGGTGAGGTGTTGGGTGGTAGTAAGGGAGCTTGTTTGTGTATAACCACCCGACTCAGCAGCCCTCACCCATCACCCATCGAGAGAGAGGGTTGGGGAGGCGGCATGGTGTATCACTGTAGCTATTTGGCCCACAAAGGCAACACCTAACCTGGTTACTCTTGAGACTTTCAACACGTAAGTTTAACTGGTACTTATTGTGTACGCAGGTATACTGTGTCCATTGTTTCGTATATCATTGTGATGACATAAAAATATGGAAACTTAAGTACTCATTTTAAGTGTTAAGATTAGTCTGATTACATAGTGTAGTGGAATTCTCCCCTACAAACGCTGTTTGTCGCTGCCTAGCCGACCCCACCAATTCCCCAGTGTATGCCTCGTGGTCTAGGTCAACCAGCGCCGCCATACACCACGGAGCGGGGGTCAACTGCTAAGCCACGCCTACCCCCGCTATTTAAGACCTGACCTCGTGGTGATCTGTCTCTCTCTCTACCTACACCAACCAGCCAGCAACACCTCCGCCTGCCTGGCGGTCCTCGCTCCTCCGCCTGCCTGGCGGTCCTCTCTCCCGCTGGCGAGCATGGCGACCCACAAGCTGTCCTTCTCTGAGCGTCCTCACCAACCAGCTCTCTCTACATCACGCTTGTAACCATGCTGCCTTCCCAGCACCAAGCTGCATTGTACATCCAATACAACATGTATATAGAGAGCACATTGTGAGTTTCCTTTCTCCAACCCATCCTGAGTGTGAACCAAATAATCTCATACCCCACAAATGGTGACTCCCGGAGATTCGCACTCACACAGGATGGAGGAGAAACTGATCACGCTCCCAGTCTTCATGCAACATGGAAGACTGGCTTATCCACCCAGAAGCAGCTCTCATCGGCTCTACAGCTTCTGTCTCTACACCGCAGGTCAGACACCCTAGAGCAGCTCCTCTTCCGACCCCAGCACACCCGTCCTGCCTCAGACGCCGACCCCGGCCCAGCAGTAACCCCTGCCGCCCCTGATGCGGCCTCTGTTCCTGAGTGCGGACCCACACACCCCTCTTTTCTCCCTCAGGTACTCCCTGCTAATGTCCTGCACCCTGCTGCTGTCGTGGACCCAGCTGCTGTCACGAGCCCTCATCCGCTGCTGCTGACACAGCCCCTGCTCCTGACCCAGGCCCACACACCCCAGCAGGCGCATCTGACGACTCTGT